CCGAACGCATCCCCAAGGGGTCCCATACGTTCGGGCGTTCGGGTTCGGGCGTTCGGCCCATCCCAAACGCCGGTTACCCTGATTATAATAATAATTTTTATTCCAAATTTGGTGAAGAATTTCGATGTGAACCTGAGGCAAAAGTTGTTTAGTTTATTTTTCTGCATAACATAGTTTTTTTTTTCAGTTTTTTTTTTTTTTTTTTTTTTGATCAGACCTTCCCTGGTCTGTGCACGGGCTGGCCACCTGGGACCCGGGCGGCCCGGCTGGTAGCCTAGGTAACTTAAAGAAGGAAAAACTTCAAAAAACTTCAAAAAAAAATGTTTCTGGGACCACCACGGTACTACCACCCTCTACTAGTATCATCCAGAACAAAGGACCACATTCAGATTTCAATTTTGGCACAATAAAGTAGTCCGGAACCACCGCGGTACAACCCTACATGTCAGTAGTGATCTCAACAAAACGGATCAGAGAAACTGCAGTTCATGTCCAATGTATTTGAGAAACGATACGAGGGATGCCAGATAGGAAGCGATACAATGTATTTGATCGGACTACTCAGGCTCCCCACATTGAGCAAGAAGCGTCACCAGGTAGGGGCTACCACCAGTGCATCATAGAAACAGGGGAACAGGTACTTCTCATATGCACAATTTCATGTCAATACGGTGTGATGGGCCGCACAGGGTGCGACTTGTTGCAAAAGATGTGTTCTCGGTCATAGCAAAGCCTCTCTTCTCTCTCATAGTAAAGCCTAATTCAACTTCCGATGATTGACGTGAGCATGTACATGTGTCTCAAGAGCTCTGCCTCCTTAATGAGTGTGTCTATATATAACTTCAGGGCTCCAGCCACAGACATCAAAAGATCGAAAGATCGAACACCTATAAACCACGAAAGAAGCCACAAAAGGCCTCATCCCCCCAAGACCAATGACGATATCCAACACACATATAATCAGGCATCAAGCAGTAAACAGAGGCCTGAACGAGTGTGTGTGCGTGCACTCCTGGTACGTCACACAAACCACCTCCCTTCCACAGAGTCCACTTATATTTGGCCCATATTACAACGGCGCCCATTTTTCTTATGGCCACAGGTGTGTTTTTGGTCTCGATCGCCACAGCACTAACCTGCTACTACTCATCACATCTGGCATACATAGGTTGAGTGCACTTGCGCTTGCACGAGATGACGACATAAACAGAAAGCGCGCTTGCATGAGATGACGACGTAAACAGAAAGCAGCCGCACTAGTGGACAGAGAGTTGTACACTGAGCTCCGAGTCCATCAATATGACGCTTTGATGTTGAGACCAATCACGACAACTACTACCATGATATAAGCATATGTGTATATATATATATATATATGGAAAGAGAGAGAGAGGTAAGAGAGGGGGAGAGAGAGAGAGAGAGAGAGAGAGAGAGAGAGAGAGAGAGAGAGAGAGAGAGAGAGAGAGAGAGAGAGAGAGAGAGAGAGAGATTGGCAGGTGGTGCAACGTCTACAAATAAAACTCGGTGATTTTCTTAATCTGGGCGTCACAGGACAGGCAACATTGGTCATCTTTTCAGAGCCTACCTCAGAAAACTTCAGGATGCAGTTGGGGCAAGAGATGGGTGGAAATCCAGACGGCTTAATAAACCATCCCTTCATAGTGAGTGATACAGTGCGCTGCATCATCACTGCTCTTCCAGACCAATGGTGTTCCAAATTCATGAAGAAAAACATCTGAGACAGCAGCCCATCACAGCCATCGATCGACTACTCGTTTCAGCTCTCACTCGTCAAAAGGAGGACAAAGAAAAAGGAAAGAAAAAAGAAAAAAAACACCACCAGCAAACATGGGTGGGCAGCGATAATCCATACGGATTTGACAAACTATTTTGGCAGCATTTTCTCATCCTTTCCAACCCCCCCCCTCCCCCCCCCTTAAGTCCAGGTTGCTGTATTTGCTCATCTTCCGAGCTTTCTGGGCATTGACTTGAATATCTATCTTCTCTTGGTGATATGCATATATAGAAGCGAAGGGTGGCATTTCTTTCTTTCTTTCTTTAACATAAGTAAAAAAAATGATAAAGCCCAATCAATCAAAACCTCAAGGCCTCCACAGTAAAAGACGAAAGATGAGAGCAATCGGCATTGAGACCAATGCCTTTTCAAACCACAGCTCGTAACTGCGAAGCTCCTGACGAGTCGTGTCACACATTCACAGACGTGACGTTTGCAAGTGACATGGCATGAGATCATCCTCGCAGTCACTGACGGGCATCCATCACACTGAATGAAATCCCGAGACGTAAGACGCGAAAGACGCTGTGCGGATTACCGAGACGTAAGACACGAATCTGGCACGGACATAGAAGACGCGAAAGAGCGAAGAGAGATCGGCATTCCTGGCAAGCAGAAGCAGAGCCGGTCAGACAGAAAGGGAGCAGGTCGGCAGCGTCGTCTATTGTCTATCTATCATTCCATGGCCATCTATGGGGCTGTGAAGATCGCCGGGACAAGAGAGGAGGGTGGCAAAAAAGAAGTTACAAAATATGAAAACAGGAAGAGAATGACATCGCAGGCGAGGACAGGCAGGGATGGTCAGACAGGAAGGGAAGGAAGTGGTTCAACTGCGGTCGGCCCTAACGGTTGTCATGTTGACTTCTGGGAGGCAGGGAGGGGGGAGGGGGAGGGGGAGGGTAGAGTTACATTAGAGGAGAAAGAAGTGGTTCAAGCGTCGGCGGCCCTGACCGTTGTCATCTTGTCGGGGTGCCCAGGGGGCGGGGAGAGTGGAGAGTATGATTTAGAGTAGAGGAGAATCTACCACCCACCTGAGCAGAGAAGGCTGACACTGGCATCCTCCAACATAACAATTTTCACATCCTCAGTTGTGCACAACTCTCAGTAGCAAGTGCATATGCCTCTCTCTTCAAGATGAAAGCTTCTTGATGCCGGGGAAAGACGGCCGGATCTCGACTAAGCGCTCACCATAACCAACAGGCTCTGCACAAATGCAAAACAGGCGGGCCACATGGAGATGAACACACAGTTCAAATGCAATGCCATGAGCAAAAGGTCGATCAGTGGCGATCAAGTATCTGAAATCGAACAGGAAACGGCCGACCACTGGTCTATTTTGAATAGGAGGAAGGTTGTTTCATCATTGAATTCAATCCAGCTATACCAACTTAAATGTGTTATTTTAAATGTGTGCTGTTTTAAAAGAGCCCAGATTCTCTCTCTTATTCCCTTCACAGATAATCACAAGCCATCGATAACGTAAAAGGAGTAAGTATAGAGAGGCAATATAATAGAAAATGCAAGGTTGGCCACGTTTGTGTGGTTCAGTGCCAAGTGCCCACACACCCGTCGGCCGCCAAAGCAGCACACTTGCACATATACATGTGTACATATATATATCGTCAATATATATATATATATATCGTCACAAACAGAACTGCCCGGTAAACCGTAGGCAGAGAGAGAGAAGAGGACAACAAACGAGGGGCTGTGACAAACTGTATATATATATATATATCGTCAAATAGAACTGCCCGGTAAACCGTAGGCAGAGAGGGAGAAGAGGACAACAAATGAGGGGCAGTGACAAACTGTTTCGTCGGAGTTTCACCGACTCATCAGGAGGCTATATATATATATATATATATATATATAATGCAAATATTATTATATAATAGAAATAAATAATAGAAATAATATTGAAATTGTGTTATTTATTGATATTTTACTTATCATATATATATCGTCAAATAGAACTGCCCGGTAAACCGTAGGCAGAGAGGGAGAAGAGGACAACAAACGAGGGGCTGTGACAAACTGTTTCGTC